CTCTGCCACCCAGGGAGTCCACGGAAGGCACTGCGGCTCCTGGACACACAAGCCACAGAGGGGCACACAGCCAAAAGGTTCTTCCTACCCAAAGGGTTTTCCAAGTTGTGAGATGGACAGAATTTCAGTCTTCCAAAATAAATGATTTGCAGGGTAATGTGTGGCATTCTCACAGATACCCCAGGGAAATAAAAACCCAGGAAAATAATACCATTATTGGTAACGCCCAAATTTCAGCCATGAGGAGGTGACTAACTTAGCAGTCCACATGTGAGCAAACTATAGAAAGAAGCGTAACGTTCCTTGGCAAATAAACACACTCTTCAAAACTAAGTCTTTTTTTTTCTTCTTTTTAATAGTCCTATGCTTTGTTTTCCAATAGAAAATAAATACTGGTTTCCTTGCTGTTGGGTAGCAAGTTGATAAACCCATTCTCGTCGCCCACAACACCCCATAATCTAACAGTTCTTTATTTTCTAAAATCACTCTTTCTCAAATACGAATTGATCTCAACACACACACACACTAAAGCCAGTTCTTTTTCTCCACAGGTAGGAGGAAGTAATCAAGGTAATTTGATTTGGTTAGTTGGCTTTTTCTAAGTGTGTTTCATTGTTTCCTCTCTGGAGAAAAAAGTCCTAGTTCAGTGTAAATGTCAACTTCTAAAAAATGGTGGGTACAGCCCTGGCCAGTTTGACTCAGTGGTTAGAGCATTGGCCTGCGGTCCAGAGAGACCCGGGTTCGGTTCCCACTAAGGGCACCTCGGTTGCAGTTTGTCCCCGGTCCTGGTTGGGTCATGCGGATGGCAACAACTCCATGTGTCCCTTTCATGTTGATGTTTCTCTCTCTCTCTCTCTCTTCCTCTGTCTCTCCCTCCCACTCTATATGAACAACAACAAAAAGAAAGAAAGAAAGAAAAAATATCCTCAGGTGAGGATAAAAAAAAAAAAGTGGGTACATTTTAGATATGAGGAAAATATTCCTGATGGGGAAGGTGGGAGGCTCTTTTGTGTTGATGAAACATTGTTCTTTTAAATGTTCATTTACAATAGTCTTACTACCATGAGTCACATAAAAGTATCACAAATAATTGTAGCAGAGCTTTGTATCCTATGCAAGAAAAAATATGTCTTATACAATAGTAGCAGATTAGTTTGCAAGATAAACACCAGAATTTAATCATCTAGCACTTACTTACCACCTACAAAGTTATCCTGAATTGTGACTATTTACCTTGTCAAAGATCAGTTAGATAATATTTATATTTTATTATATAAGTGAATTTCTAAAAGCATAAACTCACAGAAAATTAAAGGTTTAAATAAAAACAATTCATCAGGTTTGCTTCCCACCACAAGCCATTGTTTCCCTTCTAATGTATAATGTCTCAGACTGAGCCCACCAAGATGAGTTTAATAGCTTCACAAATAGTTTCACTACATGGCTTACTTTGTTTTCCAAATTAACCCTAGTATCCAATTTTCTCTGAAAATAACTCTAAGTTTTACTTGTCTATTTTCATAGTCACCACCCTGATCCAGCCTCCTAACTTCCTCCCAATGGACTTTTTAAATTGCTCCAAGCTTTGCATTTCATAAGATCCCTAAGATTTTCAACAGCTTTTACTCTGATTGAGGACCCTACCATGTGTTTCTAGAGCTTCCCCCACCCTCCAGAGCACAGACTCGCCTGAGGACCACCCACCCATCCAGCTAACATATGCCAGATAGAAACAGCTTTATGATGATACCCACACCTTCCTCATATCTTGTTCTTTTTTATAAAATAATTTTTCTTTATTGATTTTAGAGAGAAGAAGGGAGAGGGAGAGAGAGAAACATCGATGAGAAAGAACATCGACTGGCTGCCTCCTGCACGCACCCGCCCCCCCCGGGATCAGGCCCACAATCTGGGCATGTGCCCTGACTGGGAATCGAACCGGCAACCTCTTGGTGCCTGGGTCGATGCTCAACCACTGAGCCACATCAGCCAGGTTCATGTCTTGTTCTTGTTCAACTGCTTCTCTGCCAGCTCTTGTCCCTGCTCTCCACACCTCCACAATCAAGCCTTTCCTGCTGGCTTCCTAGTATTTGTTGAAAGGGCCTTTTGTTATGGAAACATGTCACAACATGAGCGTTTGAACTACTTTCTGAACTAGGTGACTCTTCAAAGACAGAAACTAGGACTTTTCTTTCTGCATCCCTCGAAGTACCTAATACATAGCTCTGAAACCAACTCTACTCAATCGATGATTATTGATCGAGGGATGATGTCATGGGTTTCTTGCATGGACTTGGGTTGTATGTACCCTGCTGTGGAGATCAAAGTTCTCAGACCTGGCCTTTCCGATCAGAATAGTGCGAAAGGTTGTTGTCTACACAAGCACAGTCACATGAGGGATGCAGGAAAACAGTCCCATAATGCTGCTTTTCACATGAACGAGCCTTTGCTTCAATTATTTTGACATTTTAGATAAGGGGCAGAAATGTGTGAAAGGGGATAAATCTTAGATAATTAAGTTCTTTCAGTTTTTTCAGTTATCTTTATTATCAATATTTACAAATAAAGCAAAAGTAGTCCCAAGAGTCAAGAATTCCAAACCGTCTGCAACATCTGCAAATTCCAGTTTAACTTCTATAGTTATAAACAAAATGCACTGTAACCTGAAATTTTCTCTTCTGTGTTTTTACATAAATACATGTATATACTGACTGTGTTATGTAAAAGAGATTTTAAATTTGACCATTTAAAAATCAAATGGTTGATTTTTAAAACCATTCTAGTTTTTTTCTGACCTACATTGATTTACTAACATTCACAATGAAATTGTGCATGTTTGACAGTAATGTTTTTCTCTGAAAAAGTTTTCATATAATCTTCTCTAAAATGTAGGTAATTATTAATGAACAAAAAGCCATTTCAATATTAGAAAACTTTAATTAGAGCAACTTTTGAGTCAAATATTTTAAAAAATTTTTTTCCTTTATTGATTTTAGAGGGAGAGGAAGGAGAGGGAGAGAGAAATAGAAACATTAATGAGAGAGAACGGCAACTGGCCGCCTCCTGCACAACCCCTCTGGGGATCTGGCCCACAACCTGGCATGTGTCCTGACTGGGAATCAAACCAGTGACCTCTTGGTGCATGGGTCGACGCTCAACCACTGAGCCACACTGGCTGGGGTTGAGTCAAATATTTAAATGTCTTAAAGAATGAGCCCTGGCCAGTTTGGCTCAGCGGTTGGAGCGGTACAGAGAGACCCGGGTTCGGTTCCCGCTAAGGGCACGTACCTCGGTTGCAGTTTGTCCCCGGCCCTGGTTGGTCGTGCGGGTGGCAGTCACTTGATGTGTCCCTTCACGTCGATGTTTCTCTCTCTCTCTCTTCCTCTCTCTCCCTTCCTCTCTATCTGAACAAAAAATGGAAAAATGTCCTCGGGTGAGGATAAAAAAAAAAAGAATGAAAGCATCCCTTCTCTTATCTATATTCCCTTGACGTGGAACCTGAGCACTGGCATACATTTTCAGAAGCCTGTCACAGCAGCATGGGACTCCAAGTACCCCACCTTACAGACGTAGGCCAATCCTACAAAGCGGCAGCATGAGAAACCAGTGACCATGGACCCATTTCCAAATGGCAAAACAGCTAAGCTTTTCACAGCCATAAAAAAGTTCACGGTTATAGAAAAGTCTCAATAAAATTCTGGGGGGTTGGGGGAGAAATGCCAGGAGGACTCATTATTTGAAATAAAATTTGGTGGAACTGGCTCTCAAATATTAATGCGCATAATCACTTGGGGCACTTAATGATGATGCAGATTTCTGGGCCTTCCTCTTAGTGGGTCTGAGGCCAGGGCCACAGATGAGCATTTTCAACATGCTCACCACGTATCTGTAATGCAGGAAAGCACAATTTTTTGAGACACAGATCTACAGGAACACCTCACACCTCTTTCTCCTCTAGGGTTTCCTAAAAATCTTTACAGTGCTATCCTCTCTCAAGATCTTTGGGAATTTCTGAGGAAAGGTTGGAGAATTAGACAATAGAACATTTAATCAAGCAAAAGAAGAAAAATCAAGATCTCACTCCAAATAAATTCTTAGGTTGTTACTAACATGAGGTCAGCAACTGTGCTCTCCATTTGACAACGTAGCCACAACCAACTAACAGGTTAACAACAGGCCGAGGGGAGAAGCTCAAACGCAGCTGCAAACAGGCCCTGACTTGAGGGTGAGCACGCGCACGTGCACACACACACACTCATTAACACACACACACAAACATCTTAGTATGCTGGGTACTCCCCAGCACAAAGGCTGGTATATGACAGAAAGTAGACACCCAATAAACATGTGTTAAAAGAACAAATATCTTTAGAGCAATAAGTCCCTGAAAATCCATCTAATAAGTCGGCGAGGAGTTACAGGCCTTGCCTAATTGGCCATGTAAGCCCCATCAAGCTGAACCAAAAAGCTCTAGTGTTACTGACTATAAAATAAGTAAAACAGTCAAGTTTTAAATACATGTCCACATGCAAATATGTTTCTAAATTATTTAATTTATTTTTACAACCCATTAGGATATTTATAATTTTATATAAATGCATTAAAACCATCATATTCATGGTTTTTTAAATCATTGCCATCTGTTTTCACCTGTATTTTTTCTACTCATGGATAAGCCCCCAGAACCAATGTTAACAGCCTAGTATATATTAGTCCATATTTATCTCCCTACACATATAACCCTAGTCAGACATATGTATATGCAGACATCAATATGAACATACATGTACACAGGGAGGGTTTTGTAAATTATATACCTTTCTATATCTGTTTCTCACTGAACAATACTTCATGGACATCCCCCTAAGGCACTGGTATACCTCTATTCATTCTTTTTAATGGCTGCATAATATTCTATGGTATAAATTATCGTAATGTATTCTGTTACCTTGTTGCTGGGCTTTCACTCTGCTTCTAGTTTTCTGCTACTACACACAATGCTGTCCTAGAGGTTTCTGTACATATGCCTTGTCGCCTGATGATTTTGTTTCTGTGGGAGAGATTCCTAGGAGTGAAATCACTGAGTATATTTATTTTTAAGTTTTAATAGTTGTTGCTAGACTACTTTTTTTTTTTTCAGGCAGTAACATTTCACATTTGCAAAACAGCTAATACTTTAATCAAGATGAAATAAAATTGTGCCCAGAAGGCGAGGAATCCACAATCTTTCTGTGACAATCCTCTGGTCTTTTCTCGACCTCTCGGCCCAGCCAGGACTTTTCCCTGTTCCTCCCCTGGGCCAGCCTGGCCACTCCCCTAAAGCGTGGGACTCACTAGCATTCCACGAATGGCCTTTACTGCCCCCTGAACTCCCTTGCAAGTGTGTTCTAACGTTGGCATATTTTTGCTTTTGTACCTTTTTCAAAGGAGAAGGTCAATGGTTTTCATCAAATTTCCAAAGGGGTCCATGACTCAAAAAAGGTTAGGAGTCACTCTCTGGAGTCTGGAGGATGACAAAAGGTTTGGGATATTACTGGTGACATAATTTAATGTTGCTGATGATAATCCCCCAAAAAGGTGAATTTTAGTGAAGACGTTTTCCTGTGTCCGTCAAGCAATCAAAAACCAGTTCTGATCCATATTATATGAGGAAGAAGCAACCTCTACAAACGGTTTATGAAAGGACACAGGTGCTGGGGGGGGGGGGGGGGGACACAGAAAGAGCTCTTTTCAAAACCAGCTAAAAGATCATTTCTTCTCCAATATAATGTTTCTCAGAGCAGTCGGTATTTGATCTATGTAAAACGAAAGAGAGTCATTTTGGGCTTCCGTTCAAAGGGATAAACATTTCAGTGGAGAATGAGAAGGGAGAGCTAAATGGGGTACAAAAAAAAACTGTTTACAGAATGTGGGAGCCTATCTTTCGAGGAGACCCAATAAACACCTGTAAGTCAGGGGTCAGGCCTCCTGCAGTCGCTCCTTCTCTGCACAGCCGCTGGCTTCTCTCCACACACACCCAAGCGCGGGCCGGTCTGACCAGAGGAGGCCTTCAGTAAATGGAGATTAAACCAATAAATAATTGAAGCAGCTTTATGTAGAAAAAGTTATAGGAAATGCAGCGGGTCCTTAGATGAGAGTTCTTTGCTGGTCAAGGTTGAAATCAAGAATGCCATGATCTTTCTTGATCTGTAATTAATGCCAAGAAAAACAGAAAGACATCTGTCCACCTCTCAAGAAAGTGTTTAATTCTTCATTCTTATGAGACTCCTGTTGTTCACAGAATTATTATTGTTCTTACTTCATTTCATACGTTATCACATGACCATCAAAAGGTGTAACATAACTCTTACAATTGTTTAGCACAGTTATTAAATAGTAACCATTAAATTAAGGAGATCTCTAGCCTCTAGTTTAAAATTTAAAACAAAGGACAAAGATGAAAACAGATATTTAAAAACATTAAATTCATATGCAGAGTGGGGCAGACGTAGGTTTACAGCTGTGAGTACATGAAACAGAGACTTTATTCTTATATTATTATCTATTAATTATTGTATTATTTTCCATTCAAAGAACTACTTTTGCCCCACTCTGTATTTAGCCATTTGGTATCTAAAAGTACTGCGTGCTTTTCTGTAGCTGAAGATACTTGTTAGATTTCCCCTGGAGATATTTAGAGATTATAGATTCCGCTGAAATAAAAACATTTCCATACAAATAGGAACTCAAGAGTGTCCGTCAAAAGGGGCCCAACGTCTCCCTCCTAGTAAGGATCAAATTTGTATAAACTTAATTTCCAAGCGACCACCATCGTGACCCTTGGCTTTACCAAAAATCAAGAGAGAGAGAGAGAGGGAGGATGGGATGAATGAAGGGAGAGAAATCCTAATTGTTCTCTTTTAACATTTTGTAATGAAAAATACTCCATTAAAAAACAAAACAACAACAAAAAAACGTCCAATAGTATTTTTGGAAGCCCAAGTAGAGATCGCATTTCTGAATACAATACAATGATTGTTCCAGTGGAAGCTTTTTTAAAGGATGAAGCCAATTAGTCATCTTTCTGCACAAAATTTCTTGAGGCCGTTTCCATCCTTACAGGGCCCCTGCCCAATCTGAAGTCAGTGGGAGCTGGAAGCAAAGCCCCGAGGTAACACGACATGCTGAGTAGCCAGGAAACAAAGGCGCTTCGGGAGAGCAGCAGCACTCAGTCCACCGCTAGGCCTCTGTGTGCTGCTGGCTACCCTTGGAGCGACTCCCGGAGGCTTTTCTGAATCCCATAGGATACTGCCAATTCCGTTTCGTTGCCTGGTGCTTTCACAAGGCGGTGGCTCCAGGGCAGCATCCTCCTTTCAAAAAATACATTTTTCAGGAAATTAAAAGTATTAATTAATTAAGAGTATTAAGAAATGCTCGGCCTGAGCTGGTGTGGCTCAGTGGTTGAGCACTGACCCATGCACCAAGAGGTCACCGGTTCGGTTCCCGGTCGGGGCACATGCCCAGGCTGTGGGCCCGATCCCCAGTGGGGGGCATGCAGGAGGCGGCCAGTCGATGTTCTCTCTCATCGATGTTTCTCTCTCTCCCTCTCACTTCCTCTCTCTCTAAAATCAATAAAAACAATTTTTTGAAAAGAAATGCTCGGTCCCCTCGTGAACCTACTAATGGAATGGGATGGCTCCGGGCGGCATCCCTGCGTGAGGAAGCCGACGGAGCCTGAACTGAGCAGCGCCTGGTGCCTGGGCGGCGCTTGGGTCCACTGCATCGACCGAGGCCGTGGCCTCAGAACAACTGCTTCGAGAAAGGACAAAGGAGGGTTAAAAAAAAAACACTGTACAGAGAAGAGACCAACTTTTAAAGTCCAAAAGCTACCATGTAACCAAAGTCATTGAAGAAGAAATTTTTAAAGAAGAAGGCATAAAAGAAGTGAATGAAAATAACTAAGATGTTTTCTAAAAGTGAATCATAGGAAAGGTGAGACACAGACAGGGCTAAAGACTAGTTGCTATCAGCGAATGTATACTATGACTGTAACTACTTTTTGTCTTTTGTCCTCTATTGTTTTTAAACATGTAGAGTGTAAAATTAGCCATGTGAAACTGGTCTGCCCATCAGTTTGACCAGACCTACGTGACCTCCCGGTTCCACCGGCAGCCGGTATCTGACACCAACTGGAGAATGGTCACGTGCAATGGCAGGTCCAATGTTATTTGGGCGGAAAAGAAAGCATAATGGTTCCTTTTCTTTAAGTTCTTTTATTGCAAACAGGACATGTGGTTGCAGAACATTTTTGTACTACAAAAAAGATCATTACAACTACAAGGAATTTTATGAATCATTTAGCTAAAACCCACTAATGTAGGTGCCCAAAGTCACATTCAATGGCAGAGGCAGGACTAGAACCCAGATCTCCTGATGGCTAATCTAGTGTATATTTTACCAAATAAAATCAAGGTTAGCAATTTATTGACAGTGCATTCAGATACAAAATAAATAAGTACGTTTTCTTTATTTCCTATAACGCTCTGCTATTTCTCACAAGTCAAAGTGAGAGGAACTAAATTTAGTCCCAACTGTTAACCTGACCCCAGTCAATGTTTTAAACCACCAACTTGGGTAAATTCAGATCTCCTCCTGAACCCTGGCTCCTCTCCAAGACGGCATCTAAGTGTGTGTGAGCAGAGATGGCTTCATGACCTCAGAGTGGAGGGAGAGGGACGTCTCAGCCCACCCACTCTCTCCTCCAACCCCTCTGTCCTCAGTGGGTGTCCTCTTGTCCTCTCCGTCACTGGGTGTCCTGCTGGTATCTGATGCTGAAGATGGTGACTGGAGACCTCGTGGTGCATTCTCCCCTGATGGTGTCACTTGCCGAATCTGTCCCTCCTCCCTACTCCCGGAGGTCCTACCACTACTCCCTGCCTGCACAACCCCCGATGGCCCCCAGCAAGCACCCCTGGTATCTCTCCACAAGGTGCACTGGAACTTCCATCGCCTTCCACGCCACATGAGATACTAAGACACTGAGAGTGGAACTGATGTGCTCCGCTCCCGCCATGCTGTGCAGGCCCCAGGCTCATTGCTGAGGGGGGACACAGTTCCAAGGCTACCTTGCAGAGTGGTCTTGTCTGCTTCTCACTTTCTCTCCACCAGTCTAGAGCTTCCCCACCTTCCTTCTCAAAAACTTCCGCCAGAAGAGAGAGAGGTAGTCACATTTCACTCTGATTCTTCTACCTTCTTCCTACAGTCTACTGTGGGGATAGGCATCACCCTCCACGTGAGACCACATTCCATCCTTCCCAAGGTGGGGTTCACTCTTCTTTCTCTGGACCCACAGTGTGAGCTAGTATGGCAGAACACAATTCACAGCAAAGAACAATACAAACACGTTGGTTTAATATTTTAAAATAGTCTCCTCATTGCAGCTATTATAGTCATGACCCCAGAGCCACAACATGGGCTGGTTATTCAAATGCCCAGTTCAAGGGCCTGTAACCTACCCCCGGCCCACGGAATGAGAACAAATAGCCTGGAGCCTGCCTGCAAAGTACAGTACGCACACCCTCCACCACGAGCTGTGGAAATGATGGAAAGGGAGATGGGATGAGCCAGGAAGTCACCAAAGGACCACTAGGCTGGGACTCTGCAAACAGATGGAAAGAAGATGGGTCACTTCAGGCGGGTGAGGAGCAAAGACCAGACCTCTGTGATGAAAGGCGCTAGGGCCTCGTCGTGGCACAACAAATCAAAACTTCTTGGTTATTTTCCTGTCTGTCACCACTGGCAGGTTTGTCTCCTGCATCATTTTATCCAGAAGTGAAACAGAAAAACAGCCTGGCTGGTAGGGAATCGTGGGGTTAGAGTTAACATCTGCACAGCATGCTACGTTCCCTGAAAGGAACGTGCCACAGCGCGTGAATTAATATTTCTCCTTTGAAGTTCTTATTCACATTCAGCCCTTCCGATATGTGAAACATAATCTCTCATCATTTTCCCTGCCTCACAACCTTGAAAAGAAACACGCTGAAGCTTCTCCTTGTGAACTTTCACCTTTGCATACATAAGAAAGCGCTTACTGGGGGCAGGGAGAAGCATCAACCCTAGAATCAGAATACAGCATCAATGGTGAAAAATCAAAAGATGGGAACTATAAAGCTCCCAAAATGAGGTTCAAAGAACATGGAAAATTAAAAGGCACGTATAAAAGGCTTCTTGTCCAAGATCAGCGGAATATAAGAATCACCAACAAAAACTATCTGGAGAGACAGTCTTCCTGTTTAGAAGTCTGAGGTTGTCAGATGAGATAAGGGAAGGGAAGAGGACCCAGTGAAAAGCAAAGAGTCAACTAAGACCAGGAAATGGAAAAAAAAAAAAAGATATGCATTTAGAAATGGAATCCACAGCTGGGCAGGATGCAGCCGACCACTCTGAGATCCCAGATGGATCTGTCTGCAGGAAAGTACTCAGACCTCCAACTCCCTGAAAATGTTTTGAAACATAATTAAAATCCACACAGCTTCTCTCTGTGCCTCTTGTCACAGTTTCCATTTTACCTCCTTTGTTAATTTATCATCCTCTCCCCACTAGGCTTTAAATCCCCTAACAGCGAGGGCTTCCTCTGGGTTTGCTCACTACTGCATCCCAGAATGTAGCACAGAATTTAGCATGATTGGTGCTCGGTGGCAAATGAAATTTAGGTCAAATGTATGATAAACTAGGGGGCCTTGGGATGAAATTTGAATCATACAGAGGATGCTTTCCAAAATAGCTCTCCAATCCTCTTTGGACAGTAACTGAAGTTCCACAGTCAGGAATTCGTTGCTTTGAAGGAAGTCAGTTCTTCAATGACACCCAATTAAAATGCAACCGCCATCTGAGAAGATTCTTAGGCTAGGTAATTATTTAACACCTTACTAGGTGGTTAGATGACAGATAAGTGAGAAAAAAAGCCTCCTGAAATGGAACTTAGAATAAGGAAGTATAGAAAGGTGCCAAGGGCCAGCCACAGAAAGAGAATGCATGTCACATACTGCCTTCGTGAACTTCCAGAGGT